TTAAAATACTAAAGATTAAATTAATTCAAGAAAATCGCCATTGGCTTCGGAATCTCCTGCAATTTTTCTGGTCGGTCTCTTTATTTAAGTTGGTGAATACTGCTATAATCCTTGCCTTCAGTTCATCTTTGGTGTGAAAAAGAGGGTTTTTTTTTTCGTATTTCCCTCAACTGCGCCCCATACATAAGAATCAAAGGGGTTGCAGTCTGGGGAAATAGATGGTCAGATGTAATGGGTGATATGGTCGCAGAATTTTTTTGACAGCCATGAATTGGTTCTCCTGCTTTTGCAGCATGGTGCAGAGTCCTGTTGCCAGAGATAGGATCTTGAATCAGCCATCCGCTTGACCCAAGAAAGAACTCAAAGCACTTGATGTAGACCACCGTGTTGAGTTTGAGGCCCTCACCAACAAACTTGGGAGCTCTTTTCTTATCAGAACGATCAGAATTTTTTCGAGCTTGATACCTTCGCAATCACCATTAGACGTATTAAATTCTATCAAAATCCCTTGCACTGTTCTCAGATTGAAACCGAAACATTCTGAAATGTTCGTATTGGAGCTTCCTTTGTGAATGCCAGGCGTTACAGCATGCCCTTTCCAAATTTCTGGCAAAGTGAATTGCGTCATGGTGTTCTTTTGTTACAAACGGTTCCCAACTCACATTACTATACTGTGCAGTCGACAACATCAAAAAGCAAACAACGCGCATGCGCGAAATTAAAAATTCAAAATGGCGACTATTTTCCCATCGCGCCCTGTATTTCGTCGACAAAATTCCATGTATTCCCTTCTTATGGTGTTTTATTAGAGAGACTAGTTTAGTTATTTATACCTTTAGTTAATGCTTTTGATATTTTGCTATTTTTCTCTTCGTTTCCAGCAACACAACCAGACTATTCAAATATTTTCTTGCTGTTCCAATCTATTTTTTCTTTATATATTAATATTTCTTTTCTTTTCTTTTTTCTATTTCTCTTTTTGGCTTTTTTTAAATATCAACAATTACTTTTTGATTTTTCTGTGATATTTGTTCGAGATTTTCAAAGCTCTGCTCCAATTATTCAAAACCTTCCAATATTTTGTTTCCCTTTTAAGGTTATTTTTTCCTTAAATCCCATTACAGTGTTTATAAAGGATGTTCCAATAACTTGGACCGATTTTAATGTGAATTAAGTGGAAGCGTCTAATGATTTTTTTCTTTTTCTTTCAGATTTGGCGGAAATCTGGACGATATTATTTATCACACATAATTTCCATGACTTAAATAACATGATCCAGTAGAGAAATAAATACATTTTCACCAATTACATTGATTTATTTACTGCTGACTTGGACGGATTTTAAATGAGAATAAAGTTTAAAATCGGCCCAAGTTACTGGAACACCCTTTATATAATCCGTTTTAATGAAACAGCCTCTATATCTGTAATAAACAGTAACTAAATTTATATATATATATATATATATATATATATATAATAAAACTGTCTTACAGATAAGGTTTTTCTTGTTCAGGAAACGGTTATATATAATTTTAAAAGTGCTCATTATACAGTTCAA